AGGATAAGAAAAATGGGCTTTGGGAAGCACACATTCTAGTCCTTAGAGTCACACCAAGAATGAGGTCAGCTTGGAAATAGCTGTTATATTCCTGGATCACCCAAATTTCATTTCAAGTGACTTTTAAGTGCTGGGCCTAGTGTCGACCCCCTAAAATGAACAAAAGTCACACTGAGAAAGTGTGCCACATTCTGGTCTAGACAGTGGCCTGGGTTTCCAAGTGCTGGGAGCCTGTGACTCTTTGAAGGGAAAGCATACTTTTCTTCTGGGATGCCAAATCCGAGAAAGATGCACACACTCAGATGAGCTCCTAGAGAACCAAACTTCTGAACACTCCTGCTGAAAAGTCAAGAATTAAGTAGTGCCTCAGTTTAGAAGACACTTATAGACATTAGGAGAGGCAAAGTTATCAAGCAAGGTTCTGGTTAGTGTGGTGGTTAAACCCCCATTACAATGGCTCCAGAAGTTTCTTTGATTTTTCTTACCTACCTATTGTCTCTGTTCCAGACAAGATGAGAGAGAAGAAATGGAACTGCTTAATAAGAAATCAATCCGTTTTATCAGGCTGAAGGAAAAAGTGAATTCAGGGTTGTGGGCAATTACATTATCCACACAGTTGTGTAGTTAGATTGTGGCAGGAGGTATGTTGAGTAAACTCATGAAGTTTACATTTTATTTTGTTTTGAACTTGAATTTCAATGTTCTAGAACCCTCTTACAGAACTAGGTTGCACTATTTTTATTAGCACAGTAAAGGAGTGCTTATTGAACAAATTCACTTAATGTCTGATTTTTACCAATCTTGTCCCTTTCCAGTTGATTTGATTTGTCCTATTGAACCATTCATAAATGACTTGCTGAGTTCAGTCTTTCTTGGAGTAGAAGGAGACATGTAAGGTCACCTTTTTCAAGTTTTAGCTATGGCATTCCCATTTTTGAACTCTTTTGAACCAGAGCCAGACAAGGTATTAATAGAATTTGTTGGGGTAAAATCACTCCATAGAAAAGAGCAGCAGTTCAGTAGTAGGATGAGATTTTAACTACAAAGGCAGCATTTTCAGAAATCTTCAGCTAACGATATGTTTAAAACATAGTCAATACTCCATGAAGAGAGAATTAAGAGAGCCCCTGTTTCCTCAACAGAAAATCAACTTACTCCTTATGGTGGCTTATTTAGCATGACTTCACAGGATGATTTTTTCCAACAGTATTGGTTTTCCTCACTGCACAACAATTTCTGAAATGTAAACGAATTCATATCCATCAGATTTTCTTTCACCGGATTTGGCTGTGTGAATGTTTTACTTCCTGTTTCTCTAACAAAATGAATTTTTGAACTTATAAACAGGAAAGTAGAAAACAGAACTGGCTTTCTTCTCAGAGTGTGATTAAAGCATTTAGACTGACCATTAATTCATAACGCTATCTGAAATTCAGCCATTCGGTCAATAAATATTTATTGCATTCCAGGCACTGGTCTAGGCACTGAGAATAGAGCTATAAGCAAAACAGATGAAGTTCTTTCCCTCATGGAGGTTACATTCAGTTTGAGAAACAAACAATAAACAAATAAACAAGTAAACATCTAGCGTGAGAGATTGTAAAATGCTATGAAGACAAATAAGCAAAGAAAGCAGACAGGTTATGGGGGAATTTAACTAGGGTAGAAGGTGACACTTGAACAGGGGTCTGAAGGAGGTGGGAGAGCAAGCCAGTAGGATATCTAGGGCAAAACATTCCAGACAGAGGAAATAGTGTATGTAAAGGAACTCAGGTGGGCATATGCCTGTGATGTTTGAGGAGGACCATGTCAGAAAGCATGCATATACCTATAAGAGAGAGAAATTTCCTGAGCCTCAAATGGGCTTGCAGATACCACAGACTCACTCACCCCAGGTCTTGAGAAAGTCCTTCCACTGTCTCTGACCTAGGTTTATAATAGGTCTATGGCAGTGAAGATCCTGATTCTAGGTCCATCACTGGCACCAACTCTAAACTCCAGAATGTATTTGAATTTAACACTTTTAGATCAGTCCCTAGTCCTACTATAGTACCCATTTGGCAGTGCAAAAGGCTGGGATGAGGAATCAGACATGCATTTGACCACCAACATTCCCATTAAAACAGCAATGCGGACTGGTTGCCCAGTTAGTCAACCCGAGGGACTGATGGAGGCTGAAGTTTGATCTCTTTCACAGAGCATTCACATCACACAGAACACACAGGTAAGCCCAGCCTGACATCTCAGAGAGGTAAACCATTGATCTGATGAGAAATTGTGACTGAAGCCAAGCAAACAAACCAGAAATGCACCTTGCTTGAAATGAAACCAATCTCTTAAGTCTGGCTTTTTCAAAAAAAGACCAAACTGGAGATTTATAAAAAGAATTTATCCCACATCTCTTTTAAATAGCACGTTTTCTCCAGATTCATTGCCAAAGTGAAACATATCTGCTCTGGAAGACAATATTAAAGCACAAATTTAAAAACAGACATGGCAGTTTAATAATTTTATCACCAAATACACAGAACATAATGTACACTTGGTCTCTTTAAATTGGCATACTCAGCCCAAACTAGATGAGCTCACAATCAAAAATTACAGGAATACCATTAATTATAAGACTCTTACAATAATAGCAGCAAATGACATTGTTTTCTTCATAATTACCGTATCTGAAACTGTAAAAGCATTGCTTCAACCACTGTTTTTAAACCATTTCTTGGTTCATACCAATAGTGAAAACGGGCTTCCCTATATAACATTTCTACTTTGGTTCTGTTCAGAGTGAATAAGAAAAATCTCAAGTATGATTCATCTTTAGTAAACCTACTTTTCCAGTTAGAAAATAAAACCATTTATTACCAAAGATCAAATCTTTCCATTTTTCAAAAAAATTATTTCTTTATTTGCCATTGCCCTTTCTAAAAATTCTCCAGCTCTGTCATTTCCACATACAATCTGATGGCTTGGATTGAAGAGCTCTGTGAACCAACAGGCCAGCAAGTGGCACAAGTGCCAGTGTAAATTCAACAATCCTTCGTCAGCCACATACTGCTGAGTTTGACCCTTTTTGGATCAATTAAATTCATAGAATGGAAGCCCACTTAAAAATCAACCAGAGTACAATATTTTCTGTCTGGAATCATAAGATTCCTACCCTACCCAACCTCCCACATTAAAAAAAAAAGTTGAAAGACCCTTTTGTCTGGGTGAGGGGAGAGGAGGAGAAATACGTATATTTCATTACAAGATAAAATATTCCAAGAAACAGGAAAATGGTAGAAGTTAAGAGGTTCTCATATATTATAGCACCTCATCCCTGAGTAGTGGGTTTAAATTTGTGTTACAGTATTCCCTCCCTTCTTAGGTCATTGCCCAGTTTAATTTTTATACATAATTAATCTATATGGCACTAATAACAATAGCTATCATTGTATGTCAGGCATGGTACTAAATGCCAGAACAAGCAAAGACAAAGACAGACTTGGGCCACACCTTCATGGAGATTATAGGAACAGATATTTGTGATGATTATCTCCATTTTATAGTGGAGGAACCAGAGTCTGAGACAGACAGTGACTTGCCTGAGGCCATTCAATTAGTAATGGGCCTTGAACTAGGTCTGTCTGCCTCTAAAACCTAGGCCCCTCTAAATCCTGAATTAATCGAAGCACTGACCAAACTGTAAAGGCAGCAATAGAGCCATTCTTCAAGGTCCCCAGGTATATTCCAGATGACCAAAGCTAGAGGCAGAAAAATATCCATGGTCATTCCATGAGATTCTTTGAAGAATCTCTTGAGAACTTTGATGCTGTCTCAAAAGACAGGCTGCAAAATACTTTTCCATGTCAATGAACCTCCAGGAGCCCACAGAGTTCTGGAGCCCTAAAGCACATAAAGTCCCTGTAATGGAGCTCTCGCCAGGGCTCCTTCTGCCTGATGACTTCTGGAAAACCTCCACCCCATGCTGGCCACCTCCTCAGCACAAGGTGAGAATTGTGTCATTCCTTTCCATTCTCCCTCCTTCAGAAGAAGTTTCTTGGGACTCATCCCTCATGCCCTAGTGAATGCTAACATCCCTTTTTCACAGTATTGTCACTTCTCCTATGGATGCCCTTTCAGCATCCCACTTCCGATCTCCACACAGACAATAAAGAGACCACCATGCAAACATGTAGAACAGAAAAGCCACTGTATGGTTTGACTGGAATGAGCTGCTAAACAATCTTTTGTAGTATTCAAATAATTTTGACATGAAGTGACCTTATTTCCTGGCACATTTTTCCTTGGTGTGGGAGGACTGTTTTATTCTTTTGGAATCATATTGTGAATATTAACACGGAATTCCCATCACAGGGAGTGAAGAAAGCAAGTCAGTTTATCTAGCATTGCTCTGCAGGGATTCCATTTGTCAAAATGACTAAATATGGTCAGAAGTCATCAAAGACAATGACTACGTCTTTCTAAACTAAAAGAAAAACAGTGTTAAATAGGAACTATGTGGCTCATTTCATGAGTGGGAGACAGTGTTTTAATGGTTTTTAAATATTTAAATCTCCCTCCCCCCACCCCCACACTAACCTATCCCCACCCTAAACACCCATTTAACCAAAGGGAATAATTTTCTAGTCTTCCTTCTCCAACTAAACCTCCTTGGATATCACACTTTGCTTGACTGAGACGTGCAGGTGAGTGAGAAAAGAATGGGGCTCAGCCAGCAGCTTGGAAGCAGATTTCAAGACTAACAGAATCCACTCATTTTTTGTTTTCTACCTAACTTCTGAATCAAGTCAATAAATACATGGTGAGTTAGAATTCGGTCCATGGTACTGCAAGACAGCCTGCCACAGGAAATTTCTTTAACTTCATTTCAGAGTCTCAAAATGATCTTGATATTTAGTTCAGTAGCTCAAGAAAAATTGGCATTGGTGGCCTAACAGGGGCCGAGGTGGCCGGCTGAAGATGAGGCAATCCTTTCCTATCCAGAGCAGTGGTGGTGAGCAGGTGGAGGGGTGCCAGCCAGCTGGCTTCTGGATAGGCATCTGTGTCAGGAGCGGTATGCCGCGAAGTCTCGGGTAGGAGCGTAGGGCTGGTAGTGCCTGCGGGTGGGCCCGGGCCTCCGGGGAGTCATGTTCATGTAGTCACTCTGAAGGAGCCTGCTCCTCCTACTCCTCATCTGCAGAAAAGAGAAGTGTCAACATGAAGGGACATGGAGGAGCTATCGTAGGAGGAGTTCTAAGACTGGGGGTAACTATTCAGAACATGGACTGTCAAATGACCCTGAACACCAGCATTCTTTGAGCACCTTGGACTTGGATAATGACTAATCAAACCTAACTACTGGCTCTTCTAAATTAACTTGAAAAAAATCTCAATCAAAGAAAGTATTTTGGAGAAATGCATTCGAGTTACTCTCAGTGCAGTCATTTGACCTGAATTCCAAAAAAAGAAAACCATATCTGATTAACATATTCACTGTTGATATGTAAATACACTTTGAAGGCCCTTCCTCTTTTGAGTAGGTTAAGCATCCTGTTGCCATCTTCTTACATTTGTCATTTGCTTTTTCAAGCTATTTTTCCATAATTAACCGAAGAGGACCTTCAGTTCCTCCAGAATTGGAATAATCATAAATTTGGAATGGTGGACTCCAAATTAATGGGGATTTATAGTTCTAGACAACTTTTTACATTCCTGTTCCCTTATGTGTATATATTTCTATAAAGACAAAGTGTCACTCATCTCTATTCCACAGGCTCAGCTCCCTTAGGATGAACTTCTACCACGGGTGAGAGAAATAGAAGCAATAACTGATCCTAGAACACGAGTTACACTTGTCATGTATATTAGCAAAGTTTTTGACTGGGGATTAGGAGCACCATTTCTGGATCAATGTGATGATCAAATTTATATTTTTGACAAAGTCTCTTAAAAATTCCAAAAATAGAAAGACATTCAGATTTCTGGATTCAAAATTCTCTATTATATAAAAAAATGGTTATTTCCTGGCACATAGGCCTGATGCGTAAGTGAATACCTTGTATATGAATGACATGGATACCTGAATAAATAAACAAGCAAATGACTTCAGCCCCAGCCTTTATTTCCATGTACTCTTGCCTGAGCCCTTCACACCTTCCTTGTCAAATGGGGCATGAGTTAAGTTCTAAAGAAAGGTTTGGAAACACTGACCTCCACATTACCAAACACAACTGACATATTTTCAGTTTTCATCTTCTTGAACTCTCAGCAGCATTCTGTACCATTGATTACTCTCTCCTTTTGAGACACTCCTCCTCTTGGCCTTCTGTGACATCCCAGTTTTCATCCTGCCTCTCTGGCCACTCCTTTCCCACGTCCTTTGCAAGTTCATCCTTCTCTAAGCAGCCATTCAGTGTTACTGTTCCTCACAGCTTGGTCCCAGGCCTTCTCTGCTCACTCGATCCTCTCGTCTTAGGCAATCTCATCCATACTCACAGCTTCAATTGCCACCTGTACTCCTGAATTTATACCTCTGATGTAAACCACAAAGGCACTCTAAACTCAACATGTTCAAAACAAAACAAGATTTTCCTCCAAAATCCGGTCCTCTCCCAGTGTTTCTCATCTCAGTAAACGGCACTACCACAAATACCTTTGCTCAGGACAGACCTCCTAAGCCTCACCCTTGACAACTCAAGCTTCCTCATCTCTGGTCTCAGGGGACATTTGGCAAAGTCTGAAGGCATTTTGGGTTGTCACCACAGGCGGGGACGCTATTGGCATCTGGTGGGTAGAGGCCAGAGATGCTGCTAAGCATCCTGCGATGTACAGAGCAGCCCCCACAACAAAGAATTATTCAGCCCAAGATGTCAATAGTGACAAGACTGGGAAATCCTGATGTAAAGAGTCTGATCTTGAAAAAAAATGGAATGCCAAGGAAGCAATCGATACAAAATATATCACCAAATTATAATGAATATGTTAGACTGCTCAAGTCCTCCTTTTTCATACCCCAAATGACTGATGGTTGAGCCAGGGTGACCGGAAGGATGGTGTGCCATCCATAGATGTAAGGCAAGATAGCAGGAAAGTAGATTCGAAGGAGAAGGTTACAAATTCAGCTTTGGCCATTTGGGATTTGAGAATGTGGATGGGTTATCTACCTAGAACTTAGGATAGAATTATACACATACAATTGGGGAATGCGTTCAGATAGTGGTACTCGTGGAAACCAAGTGTGTGAGTAAAGTTGCTCTTCATGGTTCCAAATCCTTTCTGTAGATGAAAGACTAGAGCTCTCTGGGGCACAAGGTTACACCAGGGCAGGGTTGAGGCCAGGAAATGTCTGCCCCCAAATAAGTATAGAAGGCTGCTGGTGGTACGCTGGGAAGAATTTTTGGTACTTACTCCAACGTTTGCTAAACCCCCAAGTGACAGTCTTTGCATCCAGACAACCAAACAAAACTATAGCTGGTAGAGAGGCCCCAGTAATGAAGATATCTTGACTCTGATGTTCTCCAAATTGCAGACAAATATTATGAAAGATCTGCTGCAATCAGCTCTCCTACTTACCCTCACACTATTATCAGATGGTGGATTTAGTTATTAGCACCGTAACTCTAAACAAAACAGTGGGATAGAAATGACACATGCATGGCTGGGAGCACTACACAGAACCCACAGTGCCCTTGTGCATCCAGCATATGCATATAGGTGTGCAGGGAGAACCACACTGTTTGTGTCTGTGTGACTGTGTCATCTATTCCACCCTTCACCACTCAGGTCTGCAAAAGATGTGTGATTTCAGGACCACTCCTCCTTTGCTCTTCCTCCCACCCCAGCCTTACTCATTTATTTCCTGGAAGCAGCAACAACACAGAGAACATACACAAGGTATCTACTTAAAGACATATCTTCAAGAATCTACTGGATTTAAAGGCAGATACTACCAGCACACACACTATCCACATTCCGCACATTGTGATCTACAGTAAGGAAGGACATGTTTCCAAAAAGGCACCTTTAGACTAGGAAAGGGAACAGCTTTACCAGCTCAGCTGAGTGAATGGAGGATTGAGTGAGAGTAACAGGTGCTGGTCTGTGGCAGCCTGACCAAGGGGAGCTTTTTATTTACTCAAATGTCAACATCGGGTCAAGAACTGAGAATCTGCAGCTGCTCCCAGAAACCCACTCAGCCTAGTACTGCCTACAGTAGCACAACACAGGCCCTCAGGAAGTTCCTGAAAACAGAGGCTTACACTAAGGCACAAGGCAGACCAGCCAAAAATAGGATCCCAGAAAATTACCCAGGAAATGACTAAACTCTAGGCCATCCCTAATGACCTAGATGCCTAGCTCAGCAAGGTGCTTGTTGCTTGAACAACAGTAGTAGGAAAAAAGGAGCTCAGGGTAAAAAATGCTATGTTATTCCATGAAATAGAGATATATTTTTATTTACACCCTTTTAGTCAGGGTACAAGGACCTAGGTTTGAGATGCAAATAAAGGGTAGTTCTTATTGGGTGGCCTAATTGACTACATGAGGCCACAGATGAAAAGACATACCAAGCAATGGGACTGCCCAATTCATGGGGAGCCTTTGAACAGAATAAGACTAAAATAAGTCTTCTCAAGACAAAGCAAGATGAACCTCACTAGGAATTAGTGCTGCCAAAGAAAATCCCACAGCATCTATGATGTGACTGAGTTGAAATGAACTGTTCAAACTCATTGAAAGTGAGAAGCTGCTTTTGTCCCCTGGGGTGATTTGAGTCACTCAGCATATTAATGCCTCATTATAGTAACTGACATTCTAATGCATATTTACAATAAGTTTTAAATGATGAGCAGTACCCTTCTGGCCACTGAAAGTTGAAGCAGTTCCCAAACTACTCCTGCAAAGCTAGTGAATTACTTTGACCCAGCTCAGCATATCACAGAACAGCACCTTTCCTGGGAGGACACCCAAAGAGCCACTGCACCTGGCCTTCCTGAGATTCCTAATGAGAAGGTTGGAAAGCCATATCACAGGCATAAAAGCCAATGGCCAGGGATTAGGAAAAAACAAGAACTAAGAATTCTAAAAGTTCTAAAATCATTTGCAAATACCACAGAGGATCAAAGCTCAAAGGTTACCTTACATGAAGACTCCAAAATCCAGAAAGATGAAAGTACTCAACTAACATCAGAGGCAGAACTTAGACAATATTTTACTATTCAAAATCCCCTTATCAGGATTGGGCAACTTACAGAAGGCAAGCCAGGCAAATTCCCAAGATGATATCTAGTAGAAAGAATTTCCAGGAACAAACAGCCACTTTGTTCCCTTCCCTGCAGAAGGTACAGATTAGGTAGCAGGTAGCCTGACAGATGCCCATGAGCCCCCTAAGGTCTTCTGAACTGCAATAAGCATGTGCGGAACAATTGAGAAGCAAACTAGCTATAGGCCAACACAGTTTAAAAGGATCTAAGACTGGATGACAGACTGTGAATCCAGGGCTGTCCTCCCACACCACCCCGCACACCAAGGCGACAGTAAATAGGATGGTTTCACATGGCATGGCTTCCAGAAATCACTGACCCATCTATGTATTAGCTCGATATACGGATTATGTCTTAAAGACTAGTATATACTTCGGGCAGGCTTATGTAAGTCCTTAATTTGGCCTCTCGGGATTATCAATTCACCAATCCAATAAATGTTCATTAAGCACTGAATGTACTTAATACCAGATAGATGAAGAATATCAAGAGAAATAGTTCTTTATCCTTGAGGAGAATACATTTCACATTGAAGAAATGACTCATACAATCATCTAACTTCTAGAAAAAAAGCCAAAGACAACATGGAGTCAATGCACGTGGTATTCTATATCACACTGTGTACATAAAAAGGAAGTTTCTGAGTAAGGAAAAGATCCTTGCTAAGTAGGTCCCTTCTTAAGTGTAGTTTCATTAAAATGTGTTCAAACCCAGACCAAAAATTCAATGTTGAAAGAGATAAAGAAAAATACACCAAGTTATTAGATGAACATTTGCAAAAGTTGGTAAACTCTAGTTTGGTGGTGAGAGCTCAGAAAAGTCTAACTCCCATTATAGTTTCATAATGACAGCACCATACTTGGCCTCACACAACTCATCTGCTTCAGAGGAGACAAAAATATGACTCAGAAAAACAGACCTAGTTTCTTTGCTAGGTTTGAATGCACAATTTCGGTAGCCAAGTTTCTCATGATTTTTGACCCTGAACCAAAGTTGTTCGTTGGCTTCAGTTGCCTAGCTTCCTGAGTTGCCTAGATTTTTATGCATATGTTTTATGTGTCATAATTATATTGCAAAATGGGGAGAAGAACCCCCCACACACATACTTCATTTGCCCATTTGGCTTCTTATTCTACCTGGCTACCTACTCAGTACCTTCTGGAAAACAGAGTTCATATCAGTTTTTATCTCTATAAAGTTGAACAGGCTAAAAGAGAACCTACTCAAGCTTAACAGGGAAAAAGAAAATAATAATTTCATGTTAAACAGAAAATAAAACCACATAGGCAAAATTCTTGAATATGTTCAGATTGCACATGCAGTAGAAAAGATGCATAAAAGCAGAGCTGCTTCTCTTACCCAGCAAATACAAAGGGCCACTGTTACCAGCAAGCTATAGAAAGCCAGGACTCCACCAACCACCACCAGTGCCCAAAATGGCTTGGAAGACTTTGGAGACGGGTGATTTGGACAAGGATGTTTCTCTGAAAAATAGAATAGAGCTGATTAAACGATATGAGAATGGCAGTTGAGTATATTTCCTTCCTTCTGAACATCAAAGAAGAATGTGGAAGAAATAAAATATACAAAATATTACTAGCTTACAGTCTGTTGACTTGCTCTTTGGGACTTATCCAACCCCACCACTGACCATGACCTGGTCGGTTTTCAAGGCTACAGGTGAAAACTATTACTTTAGGGTCATACACTGGTAGAATTGCATTCACCTTACTTTATTGAATCTACTGTGTGATTCAAAATGGTGACTTCCAGTGGCCTTAACCCAAACCCAACCCTGACCCCCATCAGAAGCCAGTTCATCTACACCCTAAATTATATCCTTGGCATAAGCTAAATGTTATACATATTTTCAAGCACTGAGAAAAACATCAACCTAATATGACAGTCAGAACACTGGACTGGTAATGAGAAGATAAATTTCTAGTTCCAACTCTGTCTAATAGATTATATGATGACCAGTAAGACGCTCTATGTCCTGGGTATCAGAAATGAGATGGGAAGGAACCTATAGAGTTCTACTCAAAATTAGATAAAATTAAAACTAGAAAGTACACCAAAAATCCTCTAGTCCACTGACTTTCAATCCTGGCTGCACCTTAGGGTCATCTGATGAAGTTTGAAGTTATAACAATGTCCAGCACCCCTTCCTTGACCCTCGATGTCAATCACATCAGAACCTCAGAGTTGGGCCCAAGCACTGGCATTTTTTTAAAACCTACCCAGTTATAATAAGCAGACAGAATTGAAAATTACTGAGTACAAGAACACTGGTATCCTTTCCAGTTCTAATATAAATGATATACATTGTGCATATACGTATAAATAAAACACCATCCTAAAGTAGTATATCATGTATATAGGAGAAATGTTTCACTCTTAGCTTCCAAAATAGCATATTTTTCTAACCTGTGGCTTGACCCAATTAAAATATTCTGTCTGGACATTATAGATATTAGAAATCTGAAAGGGACTAAGCAAGCAAAATATTCACACATTAATTGCCTCTATTTTGCGGAACACAAAAGCTACTCTGCTGCATTGTTAATGGTTCTTGCCTTATTTAGTGTCCTATTTTTTACCAGCACAGCTCCGTTTCAGCATAGGAGAAAAAAATTGATTGGAATTATGCTAGTATTAAATATAAAACTGAGCACATACATTTTTCTTATTTATCGTGTACAGAAAAGAAAAGCTACAGTGTATCCACAAAGTCTACCCAAAAAATCTCCCTGACTTTTGTCAATTTTATTTGTTGTTACCAATTAGACTATTCTTCTGAGTTTAGGAATCTTATTATTTTTCTCCCCAACATTTAAAGACAACATAATATCAACATGAGCTCAGTAGACTTGTTTCCACTAATTCATAAGTACTGCTAATAGTACTGAGTTTGGGGCCATGTAAAAGTTGGGGTACTTATCCAAGATCACAGAGTTGGTTAATAGTGAATTTCATGTCCCTTGGTTTCTAGGCTGGCATCCTTTGTATGTTTTGGAAAATAGAAAGGTACTTTTACAGAGGAAGACCATGGAATGCAAAAAGAGAAGAAATTAGAAATAGAACCTATTCTTCCTGATCTCTTAGGACTCAGCTGGTTTGAGAGTACCTGGGCTTCCGTTTTAATGGCAACCTTTATTCTGCCATGACGCACTCAAATGGAGAATCATCATATAAGTGATCTATTCCCGTGGGCTATAACTTCGTCCCTTATTCTTCCACTCAGTGTCAGTGAGGGAAAGAGAAAATATTCAAAATTAACCTTGAATCTCCTCTAAAGTAAGAGGAAAAAAAATTTTGGAAAACATTATTTGTCTTTATTAGCATCAGATCATGGGACGTATCCAACCCCGCCACTAACCATGACCTCGTTTTCAGGCCTGCAGTTGAAAACCATCACTTTCGGGTGGTAGAGTTGCATGTTACCTTTCACATGGATAATGGTTCCATTGCTCTTCTCATTGTCTAGGTAAGGAGGAGGATACATGACCTCAATTTTACAGAAGTAAATATCTGTTTGGTTAACATACAAATTCTGGAGGTAGAATGTCACTGTTTCATTGCCCAATTTCCCATCACAGTTGAATCCTGTATTTGAGTGGAACTGAAGCTGATGGGAGTAATTCCCGTTCACAACACAAACTTCCACAGCACTGTCCACTCCCTTATAAAGCGATGCCCGGAACTCCTTTGAGAAGAGGTTGTAGGTATACTTGCAGCTAATGTTGACTGCATAGTTGTCCACCACAAGCATGGGCAACTGCTTCACCAAAATCTTGTTCTCTGGGGAAAAAAAATAATTTGCTTAGAACAAGAGTATAAGGATAATATTTTTTTTAAAGCAAGATATATTCAACAATCACAACAATTCCTTGAACTTTTTGAAACAAGTGAACAGATATGATGGGGGGAGAGGGAGGGGGAAGAGGAACAGGTAAAGGGTCATGAAAATCAACTACAATGTATATTGAGAAGTTAAAATAATAAATAAACAAACAAATAAATAAATAAAATGAAAAAATAATTGAAATTGGAAAACAAAAATCAAGATGTATTAATTAACCAGATGAATGGGTCTCCAGCAAAGTCTTTCTCTTTCTTGGCAGTCTTTCTCATGGAGCTCTTGGGGAGACCCATGATAGCAAGAGTTTAAAAGTTTACATTTTGATATTATTTTCCTCTTCCTTTAAATGGAACAATAGAGTATGTTTTCACCTGGAAGGTAGAATGTGGGCTTCTGTTGGCACTGAGCACCATAGCTATGAACTTGGAATTTTTGAGTCTGTACTGAGATTCATGCATTGGCTGATTTCCTGAGTGAGCACTGTACTTGACAGTAGCTTTAATACCTAACACATGCACAAATAGATTTGCTTTTAAGTTGTGATACAGGCATTTGTGAAAAAAATCAAATGTTTTGAAACATTTTGACTTTTTTTATTGGCCATTAGAAGAGTGGGATAAAGATGTAAGAAAATATATAACCCAAAGAACGTGCTTTAATTTCTCTGCCACAGCAAATTCAGAGAACAGGCTCCTCAAGAAATTGACATTTTTGTTCCCTTAAATCACTGAGGGTGGAAGAGTCCCATTTATCTCTCTGATTCATCTTCCACCTTTATGCTATCCTAGTAAAAGATCAAAGAATCTGGAGACCATCTAGTTCAATCTCTTCACTTTAAAAGCAAAGAAACTGAAGCTGGGTGATCAACTCCATGAGAAAAGAAAACATATCAATCTTGTTTCCCACTGTATCCCCATTGCTGGCACATGACAATAAATATACTTCTTTTTTTTTTTTAGTGATTGTATGAGGTCTGGAAACATTTGATGGCTTGTCTACAGTCACTGAGCAAACATGAGCAAAACCAGAACTAAAACCCAAGTCAGCCACAACCACCTGAGACACAGACCACTGAAGCACTAAGAATCAGCTTTACAACCAAAAGACCTTCCCAAATTTTTCTAAAACAAACCACTTAGTCTTTGGCTCAAATTTCAATGCACGCTAAAACATTTTTTGCTATTGTTTTGGAGTATGCTAACAATTATCTACCTACACACATTTTAATAGAGGTTATTCGAAGCAGCACCCCATGTACCCACACTGAAGAGCCAACTAAAATCAGAATCTATTAAAATGAAATTTACAGTTTAGCCTAAATTTGAATTCATGTACTCTGATAGGTTTGTTTGTTTGTTTGTTTGTTTGTTTGTTTGTTTGTTTTGGAGGGGGTTGTTTTGGAAAAAGGGAGCTGCATAGAACTAAATTGCTAATAGTTTTTTGTCTCCTACACAGTAATCAATGCTGGCTATACATCAAGAACTTAAAAAAAAAAAAAAACCTACACCTTGGTCCTCTCATTCTCAGAAATTCTGATTTAATTGGGTTAGGCTAGGGATGGAGGTGAAGGGGGTGATAGGTTGATTTTTTATTTCTTTTTTTATAACAGCTTTGGAACATAATTAATGTACCTTTTAAATTCAGTGGCTTTTTAGTATATTCATAATGTTTTGAATGGATTACCACTATCTGATTCCAGAATGCTTTCATTGCCCCCAAAAGAAACACCACGTCCATTCAGTCACTCCCCATTCCTCCCTCTCACTAACCCCTGGAAACAATTAATCTATTTTCTGTCTCTATGAATTTGCCTATTCTGTACCTTTCATACAAATGGAATCATAGAATATATGGCCTTTTATGTCTGGCTTCTTCATTTAGAATAATGTTTTCGAGGTTCATTCATGCTGTAACATGTTTCAGAACTTTATTGCTTTTTATGGTCAAATAATATTCTATTGTTTGGATAAACCACATTTCATTTTTCCATTCATCACTTTTTGGCTATCATGAACTAATGCTACTGTGAACATTTGTGTACAAGTTTTTATGGGGAAATGTGTTTTCAGTTCTCTTGGATATATTCCAGGAGTTGGAATTGCTAGGTCATATCGTAACTCTAGGAATTGCCAAACTGTTTTCCAAAGGAACTGTACCATTTTACATTCCCACCAGCAGTGCATGAGGGATCCAATTTTTTCTCATCTTGGTCAACACTTGTTATTGTCAATCTTTTCTATTACAGCCATCCTAGTGGATATGAAGTGGTATCTCACTGTGATTTGATTTGCATTTCTCTAATGACTAATGATGTTAAGCCACTGTTCGTGCACTTATTAGCCATTATCCTTCTTAGTGAACTGTCTATTCAGATGATTTGCCCATTTATTAACTGGGTTATTTGTCTTTTAACTATTGAATTATCAGAAGTCTTTATATATTTTTGATACAAGTTTCTTATCAGATACATGATTTGCAAATATTTTCTCCCTTTCTGTGCATTGTCTTTGGTATTGTCTTAAAACCTCCCCCAGTTGATTCTAATATTCAGTTGGGATTGAAAACCACTATGGCCTAACAGACTTCTAAGCTGTCAGCAGATTTGTATCATCTGGGAACTTTAAAAACCCCTGATTCCCAGGCCAATTAAATCAGAATCTCTGAGTATAGAACCCAGGCATCAGTACTTTTTAAATTTCTCAGTTAATTCTAAATTGTAGTCAAGTTTGAGAACCAGTGGCCTAATGTATAAAACTTAACTTCTTATTCTTAAATTCATAGGCTTCTACCATTTTTTTCCAACCTCATTTCCTCAAACCAAAACCCTCCTAATTAGCCACACTATTTAAGTCACTAACCCAAGAACACAATATGAGCACTCCCACCGCCACACCTCGGGCACTAACTCAATGGCCCAGAATACCTTTTCTTCTCAGGTCTCAAAGCAATTCCTGTCTGTATCACTCATTTGCCATTTGTCAGGTTCTACCTTTTGAATGGCTCTTGTTTCATATGCTGTAATATGCTTAACTTTTGATTCATGTATATTTCCTCTAGGCTCCTAGTTCCCAAATCTCTTGACAGTGAAAACCATATGTTAAGTTTCTTTATATAATACTGTATGACTAATAGGATCTCATTAAATAATTGTTGAGTGAAATATGGTGATCTGACTGTATCGTTTTTATCAGCAGCTAGGTCTAGCTACCGTCTCATTAAATCCTTGTTCATAACTTGTGTCTTAACAACTTTAGCTTCATCTATTATTCATTCAGCAAATAATCTACAAAAGCTCTGAAAAGTAAACCAGTAAAGAATTGAAAAGTTTAATATGAAAATCTGACTTGTTTTTTGTTTTTGTTTTACTTTCTTTGGCCCCTTTCTTTGTTTACTTAGAAGAAGTCATTGGTCCAATTCCAATTAGAAGGGCAACCAACCCCAGAAAAAAATAATAGCAGGTTAGGCATTTGTATTTCTACCATAATTTCTGGTGCTAATTATTTGGATTCTGTTTTGATGGGCATTCAAATTCTTCCTAATCGGTCTTTAAGAGCTGATATAAGAAAAAAAATCAAGAATAGGGCTTCTTTGTGGGAATAAAAAAGGGAGAGTGGGTGCGGAAACAGTGAGGCTGGAGAAACCCCAGATAGTTACCCAGCTTGGCTTTTTCCTCCCTGCACCCACAATGAGGTGGAGAGCAGGAAGGGAGAGGGAGGAAGGAAAAGAAGCTTCAGCACCTGTACTCCAGTAATGTGCTGACTATGTCTTGTCTAACTCAGGGTGTAACATCTTCTCAAGATGCATGTGGGAGAGAAAAATTTCCCAAAAATGAACAGCACTCGGTTTCTGTCCTTGAATAGCTCACAGTCTGGTGGAGAAGAAAGAAACATTGACAGCTACTTAAAAAATAGTGGCACAGTGATCTGCACAGAGTTTCTGGGGACAATTGTGGAACCAGGTAAGAATTTCTACAGGAGATAACTGCTGGCCTGAGTCTTGAAGGATTATGCATACATTAATTTGACAAATTTTTACTAAGTGAAAGTTAGCCTGGCTATCCTGTGTCTTTGTGTTGGAGAGTGGAGTGAGGTGGGAGAGTATATGTTGGGGTTAGGAGTAAGGTAGGGGGATTTGGGGAGAACAAAGACAGAGTCTAGGCAGAGGAGATAAGGAGACTAGATAGAGTATGGCAGATGTAGGGAATTAGAGCTATACCTCAAGTTTGCGGGACCAGGAGTAGTGAAAGACAAGATCGGCAGAGCAGGCCTAGCTCACCACGTTAGAGAGCTTGGGCTCGCTCCTGCAGGTGATGGGGACGTACCGAAGGCTTTTAAGCAGAACAGTGACGTGCACAACTTTTCGTTTTATATAGGTCACTTTAGCAAAAATGTGGAAAGTAAGTTTGAAGGTCCAAGAGTGAAAACATGGAGACCAGTTAGGATACAGTTGTAGGAGTCTAGGCAAGAGATGACAAAGACTGAAATATGGTTTGAAAGGAGTGAATACACTTGAGAAATATTTACAAGGTGAAATGTGCAGCACTCAGCATTGGCTTAGGTGTGGTGAGTGAGAGAGGGGGAGGAGTTAAAAATGGCTGTCCTCAGGCCATACAAAGCAACCAGTGCATAAGCATTTTCCTTTTGCCTACAACCCTTCTTCATTCATCGCTTCTTTCTTACCCTACCAGAATAGAGAGCTAAGGAACTGAGGTGAAGTTTGGACATCTGGGATATGAAGAAGACATTCTTCCAGCCGGAGGGATCATTGCAAAGAAAATACAAATTACCTCAAATGTTACTGGGAACACAGTTGACTCCGTGGAGCTTATTCCAGTGTTTGCTTTTTTCCAGAAGGGAAAAGCAGCAGTCTTCCTCTCCTGAGACTATCTTTCCTGCACAAGGCGTGATGTAGTGAGATGACTGGAAGATGAATTTTCCTT